ATGACATGTTGGGGAGAGGATTATTATTAAAATAGGATTGGAAGAAGAAGGAAAAGGGAGTGAAAGGACCGGCGAAGCGGCTTGGCGTTGGGTGCGCTTTTGAAGGAGTGGAAAGGGATTGAATTGAATTGTTTTTTTTTGGGGCTGAGATTAAATCTGACGCTCGCGAAAAGATGGTGGATTGCGCCGCAGGGACGGTGGCAGTACAGCACAGTTGCAGTGGCACCCAAAGGGGGGGGGTGACCCTTTCATTATCAGTGGAGTCTGGCCCCCTAATCCCCCTCGGATTTTTCGTTCTCGCTTTTGGTTCTAGGGGGTCCGCGGACGACGGGATTGGCTGACAATCACCCCACTCCGCTGTCCCTCTGACAATTTCAGCGGGTGCACTTTTCTCTGAAGCTCTAGTGGCCTAATGCTCTAACTTTCTGTCATCTGCCCCCCTGGCAATCTAAAATTTAGCCTCTGCGGAAATGGATCATCTACGTCACCAAAGCTGAATGGTCCAAGTGACCAATTGCCAATTGGCACTGGCGCTTCAGGGGCTTCACAGCCAAGACACGTAATAACACAGCGCTCCAACCCGCCAAGCTTATCCAACCCCCCCCTAACCTACAGTAACTCATTAACTGCCTAACGCTCTTTAATTCCGTAGCCCACCTCAGTGCGTGTGTTCTAGCGGTCGGTAGCTGTGATCCCAAATCATGATCCCAAATCAAATCCTTGCTTCCCTTGTTTTGACCTGTCCTCCCCCTGTTCATTATTCTCCGCGTCTTCCGAAGTTTCGTTCTTTATTTATCTTTTTAACGTAAACCTTTTTTTCTCCCCTTCGACTCACCCGCCCCAACCTATTCGTCCTGACAACCTTTAAGCTTCTTTTACTCTATTTATTTACCCCCTTCGTCTTTCTTTTATTTTTATCTTCGCTGGTTCAGGTCAGGTCGGCACATGCCGCTGTAGGGGACATCATGGCTCAAGAGCAAACTCCACAGAATGAACAAGATTTGGGTGAGCCGCAGTTTGCCTACCACGCCGTCGTGGAGCCAATCGTACGTACTTTTTCTCTTTGTGTAAAACTCTCACGCCGGAGGACAGAAGTCTAACCTTGTGGTCTCTTTTGGCGGCACGTGCAGTTCATCGTCGGTGTCATGGTCGCTTCATGTTACTTCAACCGCCTCCGAAACTTCTCCATCATCCCTTCGTCAAAGAGCGCCGACGCTGGTCTCCTCGGCCAATCGAAGCTGGAGCCATGGGACGAGGACGACGTGCACGACGAGACGGAGCGTCTCAACCTCGCCGACGCAGCGTCGCCGACTGATACGCACCCGCCCAAGAAACGAACCTGCTGCGGTACTGTTGTCCACACGCCCAACTCGAGCCGGTACGCAAAGTACTATCACTCGCGCTTCATACAAAAGTTCCCGTTCCTCGTCGAGATGTTCTACTGGGCTGTCAATCTGCTCTTCTACGTCGGCGTCAAGTCGGCGAGTGAGCTTATCGCCGCCACGGATGGCGTCTGGCAGACTGCGGAGAACCATGGAAAGGCGGTCTTGTGGTTTGAGCACGAGGGTCCCTTTAGCTGGATGTTTCCTCTGCGCGAGATCGATGTCCAGAGCTTCTTCAGGAATGATCACCAGACGATGCTGACTATCCTGAACCGCGCTTACTCCCTTATTCACATCCCCGTCACTGTCAGGTTCGTTGTCGCTTTTACTACCCCTCACGACGAAAACATGGCTAACAAGCTTAAGCTTCCTTGCATGGTATTACTACGCCGCACCGACGCACGCCCAGTTCGCAGAGGCTCGTCGCATGATGACGCTCACAAACCTCTTCAGCTTCGTCGTCTTCACAACGTACCCATGCATGCCGCCTCGTCTCCTCCCTGAAGAATACGGCTTCTTCGACACGGTCCGCCGCGAAGACGCCGAGTCCATCTACGCCACCAATAAGTTCTTCAACCAGCTTGCCGCCTTCCCCTCCCTTCACTTTGGATACTCGTTCTGCATCGGCACTGTCCTCCTGTACCACTCTGGCCTCTTCCGCCGCCGCCTCGCCCCCCGTGAGAAGCGCATGAGCAAGGCGTGGCAGGTCTTCTTCGTGGTGCTGAGCATCGTGTACCCGGCGTTTGTGTTGACTATCATTGTTGCTACGGCGAATCACTACTGGCTTGACGCCCTTGCTGCTACGGGAGTTGTTCTGGTTGCTTGGCTGTCAAACCGCATGTTGCTTGGTCTTTTGCCCTTGGAGGATCTGTTCCTCTGGTGCGTCAAGCTGGAGAAGCCGTTCCCTACAACCGGCAACCGTGGAGGAAAATAAATGACACCCAGCATGTTTTACTCAATCACCATCACCACATAACGATATCGCATAGCAACCGCATCGCAATGAACCATTTAATTAATGTTAATCTAGAATAATGTCAATCAATAACGTACAGCACACGCATGCCCCCCACTTCACGATATCCCACAAGACGATATGATATGCTCACGTGCTCACCTCCAAACAAGGCTTGCACCCATGCTCGCCTTGCGGAGAATGTGAAATTGTGGTGGAGTTTTGACCATCCCCTTTTAATGCGCTTGACGGAATTGAATGTGGGACCTGCTGAAGGATCGGACCCGACGAGATTACCGTGCCGAATCCCACCAACGGAAGACGGAGGTTCAATGAAACGCCGTTGGAGTGATTAAAATCTGACCGACTCGTGTGGCACCATTGGATAAATTCTGTGCTGACGAGAGAACGGGCTGAACGAACGCGCGGACGAATTAATACGCGTAGATAAGATACGAGTGAGATGAATACGCCAAATACGCGTAGGTTTCACAGAAAACTGTTGATCGGCATCGGTGAATACAAAAAGTGTCGAGAATCGGGGTCTCGGACGTTGGAATTTAGAGTTCAATTAACTTTCAAGCTTCAAATTTTCATTCAAGGGGCACTTGATTCATTCCTCTCTATTTTCTTTGGTCCAATCACGCTATGCAAGAGACTCACTTGTCGAAAGGACCCTGCATCGCTTGAATGGACGACATTGCATCCGAAGAAGCCGGTTGCACTGCGAAGCGTAAGATTCTTATCTCGTGTTTGAGATCCCATGTACAAAAGGTCTTGTGGGAGTGTCATTGTTGCGCAACGTCGCTGAATAAAAAATGAGCCATTTACTTAGATACTCCGTACTCCGTATATGCAGGTGAATTCCGCTCATTCCGTAACTAGAGCGGACTCTCTGTTTCGAATTGTTCTAGAACTGAAGATGATCTGATTCATGGTGTTGAAAATCTCAGGTACCCGATCAGTCCTACCCTGAAGCTCTCCGCCAAGAATGGGTCTGTTCCCCAGACCCTGAAAATCCAGTGCAAATCTTTTGTGTGCGATGTTCAGGGTCCAGTCCTGATGAGATGCTGTGAAACGTGAATCGGAACACATGTTATCTATGCAATGAATTCTGGCTGTGTCATGCGAATTTCCATGCTTGGTTGTTTCGGTCTTGAGTACAGCGCCGGTGGTGCACCGCTGCACCGAGTACCCTGTAACTGATGCGACACAGTCTGATCAATCAATGAACGGCCCAACATAATCCGACATCTACAAGACTGACATCAACCATGAAGATTTTGACAAAGACTTGGGATGTTATCATCATAAACTTGCTTGGGCCTAAGCTTAGGGTCAAGTTGAGGTCTCGGTTTGTGATTCCATATAATGCACAGCTTGACAATTGATGTGATTGCGACGACGGGCTAATAGTTACATCGACATGTGATAACCCTGCTCCGCCCATCCATAGACATTCTTATGACACCTTTCGTTCTTTTTAATCCTTGCTTCCCATTCCCATCATTTACTTCTTGGCAACAGCCTTAGCGAGGTCAGCCAGAGCCTCACGGCGCTTGAACTTGGCATCCTCAATAACACCAGCATCAGCATCGCTCGAGAAGTTTCCGCTCCAGGTGACGAAAGTAGCGCCCTCGTGCTTGCCCGAGGTGACGGGGTAGGCGCGGACGGTGCTGACGACGGAGGTGTAGCTGAGGGCGGGCTGGGACGAGATGACGCTGTAGGTGATGTAGTGGTCGATGGACGAGTGCTCCTCCTGCTTGACCTCGAGGACGGTGCCGTCCTTGAAGGTCCACTTGACGATGTCGGTGTCGGGGGACGCACCCTTCACCCACTCGCTGGAGGAGAGGGCCGAGTAGAACTTGGAGAAGTCCTGGAGCTTGATCAGGTGCCAGACGTCGCTGAAGGGGGCTTCAATGACGGCGGACTCGAGGACCGAGGTGGAGGTTGGGATGCGGGACATGATTGCGGTGAGCTTGGGGTTGATTGATTGATTGAGTCTTTGATGGATTGATTGGGGTTTGATGATTTGATTGAAGTGAAGTGGTTGTTGTTGGGAAAAGGTAAATAGAGGGGTCACAGGAATATTTGGTGGTGGTTGCTTTAGTGTCGTCATAGGCAGCTCAGAGCTCTCTACATTGGGCAACAGCTACACAAGCTGTGCCGTTTTGAGGAATGAGGTGCCTAAGGCAATCAATGTCGTCACCATCAATCGCACTGTTCACTGAAACATTTGGGGATATCTTCAATTCTTCAATTCTACAGTACTTCACTCAATTGCTCGTTCCATTGCGACAAAATTTTCTTGAAACTTTTTTTTTCTTCACTGGCGGGGACCTGACGAGTGGAACCTCATTCACGATCGATAGCACCAGAGCGGGAGGTAAGAAAGCTTGGGCCTGTCATCTTAGTCGACAAAAATAAATAGGTACAGGAAACATGAAACTACAAACACCCTGTCCAAGTAATTATGTCACCCATCTTGGGGCCACATACTTTTCTTGCTCCTGGCGACAACGCTAGGTGAATAGGAGCCACTCAGTTACCCACCAGCTTGAATGAATGGCTTGCATTGACTGGTGCACAGAAAGTTTGACGTACGTAAAAACAAGCCCATAGATCAATCCTCAGACTACTTCAGAGCACATGGAAACGCGCCCTCATTCAGGCTGCTTGGCTTCTCGTTCTGCTTTTTGGCTCGCCTGTTTGTGCGATCTCGTGACTGCTCTGAACCAGTAAAACGTCCCCAGAGTGAGAGGGATCGCAATGATTATGTACATCCACCATTGGCTGGACATGACAAGGCGTCCATTCTTGCCGTTGTCAAAGTCAAAGTTGAATATCCCCATGCTGAATAGTGTCTGTATCATCGAAGGTTAGCAATATTCTTCGCTTGCATCTCACTGTTTAACCTGTTCAGAAGACGGATTACTTACGGCAACAAATGTTGATGGCAGATAAAACATGGTGAGTTTGGCAATGGTGATCATGGCCTCACTATCGAGCTTCGTGGCTATCGCGATATCGTTCATCTTGCCGCTGTCTTCGCGATTCGCCTCTGTGAGTCTTGTCATTGCTTCAGTACTGGCCTTGATGGCGCTGTCTGTTCTGAGGCTCAGAAGAGAAGAGAGCTACAGCAATTGAGTTAGCAAGATGCGCATATCAAGAACAAGAGTGTGGAATTAGCCTTACAGTTGATAAGCAGACATTGATTCTTCTGATGCGGGTGTCTTGGTAGCTCTTGAAGGAAATCGCTTGTGAGCGGAGGGTCTGCAAGTTCTTTTCAACACGGAGGAAATGCTGACTGGGAATGGATAGCAGTTCTCTACAGTCCTTGTGCTCACTGATAGTATCCTCGATGATCTGTATCGCGCAGTTCACTGATTCCAAGATCTTCTCCAGGTACGGCAACGACTTTCTGAGTTGGATCGCCGTCTCTTTCACCTTTGTCTCTTCATTCTCAGCAATCTCAAACCTGAGTGAATTACTGTAATCTTCCTGCAGAACGTTATGTTAGAGAAGGCTAACCTGATAGATAGAATGCTTGCCATTTTGCTAATCAGAGCAGTGACCGAGTGCGCATTCATGCCCTGGCCTTGAAGGATTGAACTCAAAGCGCACGTGACAAACGTAAACGGGTCGTCTCGTACACCAAGTTCTTTTGCGTTCTTACAAGCAGATGCTAACTTTTGACTAGCAGGAATTGCGCTCGAGTATAGAATGCGTGTTTGTCTTGTCGTTTTGTCGAAGCTTAGATAGAACATGCCTGCGTCTTCGTACAGATGTGTGACACCTTTGGAAGAGTCAATTGGTAGAGAGTGAAGTTCTTGACCTGGATGAGTGAAGTTATCTACGCCGGCATCTACCAGTGGGAGGGTAAACCAGATATCTGTTAGAGCACTGAATGAGCCTTTGCCATCAACCTGAGGGAGAGCTTACCGTAGTGGGAGCCGTAGAGTCTCCGACCTAGCCCTCTGAGGACGTTGTACTCAAGACCATATGAGATCCAAGGTGCGAGGCCGAGGCTTTGGGATAACTCTCGTAGCTCGCTGGCATATAGAAGAAACACGCTACGAGAAGTTGCGTTGCTGCACGATGGTCGATGATTAGTATGGAAAAAGTGTATCGTGAATTTCCTCAACAAACAGAATGTGTATATGATCATCCTCCAGTGCAGTCATAGCCTTCTGCATCTCTTCAAAGTCTTTAAGGATGAACTCTTTCATTTGAACTTCTGTTTTTTATCAATAATATTCATTGGATTTAGTATGAATACAGATACCCACCATCTCCGGCGTAAGTACAGCATCGATGCACTAAGAAGGTGCTGTCTCTCCAATTATCAAAGTCGCGCAATCTTGCGAAACTTGCGGTCTTCAGACTGTCCATATCAGGTGCATAGGCGGGCGAGTTGGGACTAGCGCTGATGTCGACTGGGAGTTGAAGATCTGCGCTAGAAGCGGCTTCTGGGCTGGATGACCGCGAGGACCACATCGTGATGAGAGCACGTAGCGTAAAAGACGAGAATAGAGTGAATTTCTACTTGATTTTCGCAAAAATGGGGGCAGGGTCTAGGTTGATATAATTGAATGCTGCTGCTGAACCCCCGTGTTTGATCGGAGAGGCTGAGAGAGAGGCTGAGACCTGGACAGACGGGGAGCCTTGGGGATTGCCTCGTGATACGCCACAAAAGTGACTTCAGGCAGCAAGGCCGTATACACCAATTTCCATGGGAATGTTAGACTAACCTAGATAATCTTTTAAGGGTTGGCATACAAACAGGCATTGGGATGCATTGTTCGGTGCCCTTTTATAAGGGCACATGTCCCAAGAGATATTTACAAGGTAACCTCTAGAATTGTCGACCCATTCGACTATCGGCAGCATCCAGCCTAAACCTCTTCAGCGCGAAGAAATTATTCGCTCGTTCCAATCTTCCCCTCCACCGCTTCTCGTCCCTTTGCGCTGCTCTATCGCCAGTAACCTTGAGCCTCGAGAGTTGTGCAGCGAGTATAGCTTCATAAGCCTGCACAACCTCTCGATTTCCATTTACCGTTCGCCGATGCGCAATCTCCATACCTGGCTCTACAGGCACTAAGGAGTCAAGAAGACTCTGGTCTGCTGTCTCCCGACGAGGAGCACGAGGTTCCTCGTGTTTGCGATGAGAGATGACTCTCCCAGAAGGCAGTCTCACCGGGTCACCTGCATCTTGCTTTCTATCCCCCAAGGCATCTTCGTATTGCGGTATCTCGTAGAATTCTTCTGTTTCTGGTGAAATATCGAAGCGACAGTGACTTTTGGCAAGCATGTGATGCTGTATACCCTCGACTGTACTCCGATGGGTGCCGCAGCAGATGCATTCTCTGTATGTGTTGATGACGAAATGAAGGTAAGAAACTAGCGTTTCAAGATCAACGGCTAAGAAATCTTGGAAGGGAATATTGAAGCCGTGTGCTGAAGACATATGTTTCATGCTGTCGTCTAAAGCTGAGGTGTCTTTGGTGCAGAAGAGGCAATGACCAGGCACGAACTCAGTCGCGACGAGTTCCTGGTCTTCTTCAAAATCATCATCTTCAGTGTCACTTTCGGACTCCGGGTCAGGGTCTTCGAACTCTTCCCTTTTCTGTCTTGAAGACGGAGACAATTTTGAAGCAGAAGTTGGTGTTGACGACACTGTAATACCATGTACTTTCTCTTGTAGCTTTTGAACACTGTGACGCGATAGTCAGCTTGAGTCTGGGTTGTTGGAGGGTGAGATACTCACTGCCCATCACTTTTGACGTGAGCCTTCCACGTTTGCAAGCCCCGTAACTCGACGTTACAAAGTCTACAGAATGAAGGAGTCTGTGCCACTTTCAGTGACTGCTGCTGATCGCTGTCAACAACATTTGTGTCTGCCATAGTCGATTATCTGGTCCTGCGAGTCGTGCTGAGTCTAAGTTCGGCTGGATTCGTGATGTTTAATATAAAGGACGGGCCAGATAGAATGGTAGAATGATAGTGAAGTGTGGTAATGGAGTTTATATATTAGACCCTATCTGGGTTGTTGGTGTGATGAGTCGAACTGACGTTGCCCATTTCGGACATTTGTGGCGATGCTCACCGGGCTTGCGGACCCGGGCCTCCGTGGGTCCGGTTGGTCATGAACACTTCACGCATTATTTCTCTTTTTCATTATTGCTATTTTTTATTTATTTTTATTTATCTAATATAAATTAAGTTAACTAAGATTTAAATAATTTAATAGAAAGAGTATAAATAACTTGTTTAGCTAAGTAGGGAACGGGATTATGTAATATATTGTTTTTTTATCTGACGCCGTAGTCAACGTGGTGTTTTATAACTGGCTGATCTATGGATTTAAGGTGCTCTAAGGCTGATGGCCTGACATGACAAAAGGACTTTTCCTTCTTACTTTTCATTCTCTTTATAATAAAAATCTCCCTCCGCTTTATACCTGAAGATGGCATCTGGAGATACTTGTTGTTCTCTCATATGGCAGGTCTCTATTCCCACAATTAGGGAAGCACTTCCTGACGTAGCCGCCGACCTCTGTACGCAATGCTCTTCTCTTGACCTTTACGCTCTACGGAATGCGCGACATAATACAAATATACGACTTAAAAGCAAAAGGTCATCGCCTTGCCCACTCTGCCGATTCTTTACTACTCTTTTGTTTAGCGACAATGCCACACCTGTCAACCAACACGGTGAAGTCAAGTTCGAAATTTTGGCCGCGAACCTAGCGAGCGAGTATCTTAACATACCTTCGCTTGCAGCAAATGCCTTTGATAGAAGCCATGTGCTTCTTTTGAGGCCCTTAGACTCCTATTCGTCGCGGTTTGCAATATCCCCTCTCCCAAACAACTCTCAAGACACCGAGGGGGTAAAATTCACCCTTCTTCGTCTAGAGTCAGACAGGATTGACTTCGGAATACTGAAGAACTGGTTGAATTACTGCAAGCTACACCACACAGAAGCTTGTCAGATTTTGCCAGGATATCCACATGAACTCTCATGCTTGAAAGTGATCGAGTGCCAGACTGGTGCAATCATAAAAGCCCCTGAAGGATGCGAGTTTGCCGCTCTCAGCTATGTATGGGGATAGCCACAAGACAATGAGTCAATTGTGGCCCGAAAGGCTGGCTTTCTGCCACGTCAGGTGCCCAAGACCATTAGCGATGCTATCCAGGCGACGATCCGACTTGACCTTCAATATCTCTGGGTGGACCAATACTGCATCAATCAGAAGGATGAAGCCGAGCTAGCCGAGCAAGTTGGTATTATGGATATGGTCTACAACCTTGCCACCGTTACATTAATTGCGGCATGTGGTGAGGATGCTCATTTCGGTCTGCCTGGAGTTGGCTCTACGCCGCGAGGCCCGCCGCCTCTGATAAAGTTACATGGACACGTGTGGGTATCCTCTGATCCGGAGAGACTACTAGTGGCCAGGATCAAGAGATCTCGATGGTGGACTAGGGCTTGGACATACCAGGAAGGGCTCTTCTCCAGGCGTCGAATCTTCTTCGCCGAAACCGAGGTTTACTTTGAGTGCAACGATTTGTGTACGCGGGAGACTGTATCCTTTGATCTCCATGATTACAACAACGAGGACCATATGCTAATCACCGGCATATATGATGGCGGCTATAACTCCAGGCATGAAGGCCTAGGTCAACATCTCAAGGCCATCTCGCAACGACAATTGACGTACCAGACAGACGCGCTCAATGTCGCCCGGGGCATTTTCAGGGCGTATTCATCAATGCCTACACCTATACATCACTTTTGGGGAATCCCTATAACAGAGAATGCTAATGAATTAACGTCTTGGGCGCCAAGTCGGGGTGCAACCAGCCAGTCCGAAACACACAAAAGAGGCCCATGTTATCTTGACTCCTGTTTTGCTGATGGTCTTTGCTGGATTCCAGAGAACACGTCGCAGCGGAGAGAAGGATTCCCCAGTTGGTCTTGGTCAGGATGGATTGGGTCGTTGCGCAGTTTTGATGCTCACAGTACATCGAGCATTAAGATCTGGCTTCAAAGGACAGATGGAACGCACCACAGGATCTCTGACTCGGTTATCGCTGAGATTGATGCTGATAAGGCCGCTGGAAAGCCTCCTTATACGCAAGTCCTTCGCATCGAAAGTCGGACGATTCAAGTAACTTTTAGATATCTCCCCGATAATGGCTTTGAGAGATCCTACTGGGATCGCGATTGGGCGATTCCAAAGCCTGTCTACTTTGTAGTTACATTCAGTAACTCAGACTACGATTACCATCACGGCACATGGTATTGGCCGTTAATTCTTTCAGCCCCTGTAGACACTAGCTCTACACTTCATAGGGAGCTCTGTGAGGAGACATTTGACTGCCATTTATTATCTGCAGAAGGGTCTATCGGATTGGTCGTTAGAGAAAGGGAAGGGACCATCGCAGAGAGGTTGGGGTATATTGACACCCATGACGCACTTGCATGGAAGCCGGATGGGCCATCTGGCTCTGTTTCGACCATCAATCGCGCTATGGCTCCCAGGCTCGCTGATCATGTTTCCGGTAAAATTAAAACTGTCATGCTAGGATAAAGGTGGGGTTTAGGTGGTTGCTGTATGAAAGAACTAGGTGTCGTAAGGAAGTGGACCGCCGTTAGCTGTGACAGCCGACCCAGGGCGAACTTCGGACCATGGGTCCGGTCAGATATGAACGATATAAATCTACATTCAAGCTAGACACCAGTATATTTGACAAACTGCCTATTCAAGAACCACCATTCTCCAATCAATATCCAACTTCACCCAATCCTCCTCCTTCATAACACCAAGACCAATCCGACTCCAGATCCCCGACCCAGGTATCTTCTCTTCAACAGCCATGACGTTCAGCTTCACCTCCTCCTCATCAGCTTCATCATACCCATACTGTTTCGAAATGACAATGAGGCTAATTGTATGAGTCGTTGAAACGGGTCGTCTTCCCAAGAAGTTCGCCACCTTGCTCTTGGCCGGATCGCTCTCTTTCTTCAGGACTTGTTCAAAAAGGCTATGAGATTCCTGCATGAATGGCGATGATAGCCTCAAGTCAAGCTTGACTAGCCCGTCGGATGTTTCCATGTGTATGCTGTCTCGATTGGTGACCTGGATGGAAACATTGGCGTGGCTCGTCCGGAATACTATCCGTCCTGTGTCGTAAGGCGTAAGATCTCGATGAGACGTTTCGAGCTCAAGTGATCCCAGTTGCGAGGTTACTGCGATATCAGTCATCTTGATCGGACCGGTCACTTTTGTATCCTGGATCCAATCGTAGCTAGACTTCTCAGCAGTTGTAGACACGGCATCGTCTTCCTTTCCGTAATCATTCACTCTCCTTAGTGACGTGCCCTTGATCAAAGATACACTGCCATCACTCATCAAAGAGTAAAACGCCAGAAGCGACCTCACCTCTCCGACGTAATGCTTCCCGACGCTGAGACTATAGCTACCAATGAACCCTGTCCACCCAAGCCAGGACCAACTAGGATACGGCACGCTGCGCGTCGATCCGCCGAGAGCATAAGTATACATCTCATCTCGTCGATCCTGTCCATACTTCCACACCAAGGCTTGATCAAATGTGCTAGCGTTCAAACCCCAGTGTATCTTCTCATTGTTCAGATGCTCAAAGCGACGGATGATGCCAAGAAAGGCGGGGAGGACATCAGAAGAGTAAGTGAACCTCCGCGTCGAGAATTGTATAATGTACTGATCGAAACTTTCCGTTGAGAATTTGGCTTGGTTATCGTCCCATTCGTCGTAGCATCCGAATGAATGGGATCTGGCAAAGACTGTTGACCCGGGGATGTCGAGAAGTGACTCTTCCTCCCATGTCGTGGCATCACAACACCAGTAAACTTGCTTGTTGGTGAAGATGAGCGAGCGTCTAGATAAAAGACGCTCTTGAAACGTCCAGCCTCTTGTATTCCACGACGAGTACTGTAGCGTATCCTCTTCGGTTAGAGTAACGAGCGGCATGACGTGAAGCCCGCTCGATGAGACTTTGACTTGGCGTTGATAGATGTCTCGTGGATTACTAGGGAGTCCTGCAAGTCCAGAATTTGAATCTTTGCCACAAGAAGCCAATACAGTGAAGAGAGCCCTGGAGTATATCAAATCCATTCGTGCTGTCTGATGTCCAAGATCTGTAGGGTCATCTTGTACGATGCAAAAGGCGTCAACCCAGAGATACCTCTCGCCGACCTGTTCTGTAACATACATGGCGTCTTTGATAGTTTGAGGCATAGAGATCTCCCCGAGACTGTTGGGTTGTTGAAGTCGCGACAGGTTCTCTCGAGTCAACCGTCTCTCGAAGCGCGATTGTCTCGCCTCTTCGCTAGATCCCCAAACATAGCTTAGAGCAACGTAGCGCATGGTTGGAAGTAGATCAACGATCCTATGTTCCACTACGTCGATTACTCGACATCTCTCAGGCCATTCGGCATCGCTATCGCTTAGCCACTTGGGCTTTTGACACTCCTGTGCATGCTGGTCTTCGCATTGTTTGATCCAGCGCTTGGGGAGTGAGAGATCTAGTAGAGGCCTGATCATTCGACCTGTACCATCGAGTGGAAAGTAGTTACTTTCACTTTGGCTTTCCTTTGACGGCCAAACAGCTTGTAAAGTAATTGAGTTGGCAAGGATAGCTAACCAGGGACATGGCTCTAGCCTGATCAGAACGCGCCTCACTGCCCCAGCTCCATGAGCAGGGCCACCCTCTGTATACCATGATTTATCTGAGGAGAAGTTTCGGGATTCAAGATAACATTTGATCGGCTCATCGTTGACTGTGAGTCGAAGTCCGTGTGTCTTGACCTCCTCGTGGATTACAGGTTCTTCGCCTAAGATTTTGCTTTTGAAATCCGGATGATTCTCCGAGAAGCCGTAGGGCGCTCGTATGTATCGTTGTCGGTGAGCATCGACGATGAAGTTGCAGAGGTCGCATTCTTCTGAGCGATCCAAGATTTCCTGTAGTGTACCCAGACAAGGATCTGTAGGCTGTCTGTAGTCTGGACTGAATGGGGCCGGGTCTGGAAAGAATAGCTTGTCGAAATTGATGGCAGCGCAGGCTGAGCAAAGCTTGGGAGATTTGTCGCTCATTTCGTCCTGTACTTGTTGATGCGAGAGAAGGGGTCTTTAATTTTTGCTTGTTCGCGATGCGGGGATTTGTTGCATGAAATACTTGAGGTCTTAACTACTGTAGGGCTGACTGTCAGCAGGCAGATGAGCTCGGTTTGAGTGGCGCAGTCAGCGTTAGTGCAGCAGATAAGTGGTAGCTCCAAAAGGCTGATTCCAGGGCTGAAATGAGCTGGGACCATGTTGCTACCATCGTCACAGGTGATGAACAAGAACTTTGACACAAATTGAGTTATATTTCTATCAGTCAACTTCGTTTAATTGTCCCCAAAAAGACGCACTGGGTCAGAGGAACCGTGACCTCAGGGAGCAAGAAAACCTGACACTTGAGAGGAGGATGCTAAAATAAACTCAACTAAGGGCCCTCCAAGTTTAGGCTTGAGCTGCCTGAATATTTTTATCACCTAGAGTAAAAGTCCTAGTTCTTCTTGCTCCCCAGCATACCTTGTCTTACTCCGACTTGATGTACTCAGCAATGTTGGGTCTAGCTTCAAAAACTTCCTTGAACTTGAGAAGGACATCAGGAATTTTTGACTAGCAAAACGTTAGTCTCAGTCAATTATTACCAAGTCGTCTAGGGAGAGGCAACCTACAGGGATGGTCTTAGTTCGTGTGTCATTGTCAATGGACTGGTAGACCGCAAAGTCGGCGTAGCTGACTTCATTACCGAGAAGGTAAGGGCCCTCACGGTCAGAGTAGTACTTGGCAATGAGATCGTAGTACTTGGGGAGATATTCGTTCTTGTACTCGTCGGTTGCTCCGCTGAGGTTGGCAACCCATTGAGACTATATTTCCGTTAGAAATTGCACGATGGGGGGTGAGATTGGCGTTCATACTCTCCAATCGACGTAGATGTCGGAGACGGCGTCTACCAAGTACTTGTCTTCGTTCGTCTGGCCATCATACTTGCCGAGGTCGCGAGAGAGGAAACGAAGAATTGGGATATGCTGTCAAAGACATTAGTATTTCGCTCACAGTTGAAGAATGAGTTCACAAACCTGAGTGAGAATGAGACCCTTGTACTCAAGAGAAGGAAGGCTTCCCGTGCGGGTGATGCCCTGCTGCTTCAGCTTCTCGCTGGTCTCTGGCCAGGTATCAGGGTACTTATAACGCTTCTCCTCGAAGTCAATCCCAGCATCCTTCAAGAACAGCCTATCAATCGGTTAGTCCAAGAACACCTGGCCGCCAATAAGGCTTGATATTTGCGTAATATACGTACTTGACAACTTCTCCGCGGCCAAGCTTGCCAATGGCGAGGTAGTGGTAAACGACTGAGTCTGAGGACATTGTTGCTGTAAGGGTCGGTTGTAAGTAAGTTGTGTTTCAAAGTCAATCAATTGCTGCTGTATTTGATTGATGGTGATGAAGACACGACGACTCCAAAACATTTATACTGCATCATAGATCACAGCGCCCTTCTCTCGGCAGAATCTCGGCTGCAGTCAGCGTTTGGAATCAAGCAATTACGTGATCAAATCAGGCGCACTCACTGGTGATTCCAAACTGTGCAGCACGCACGTCAGCGGGCATCATTACCTAAGGTGTCCGAAAAGGTTCACCAAAAGAGGGGATTGCATAACGTTGATCATGACATGCCACTGTAAGCTCCGAAATAATTCGGAGCTATCCTGGATGCGGGAGTGGTCACAGGCAATTGAACGGGTAGCTAGTTAGTGTCAATGGATATTAAATTGCCGGACAGCTAGTGTCAAGAATGTCTAAGTCGTCACGAGTCTCATACCTCGTGCAATCATCTAGTAAGTGTCCTCATACTCGTAGCAAAGAAGACCCTTCTTGATATGCATGACATCCTTGACCTTGGCCTTGAGCTTGACCGTCTCACCGATAAAGATGCCATGGTTGAGAGTAACGTTTCCAGCAGCCTCATTGTTGTAATCAAAATTGACAAGAGGACCAGAGATGTCTTTCTCACGCTTCTTGAGATCGCGAATTTGCCATGACCACCAGAAGCGATCAACATTGGCGTGATGGACCCAGAATAGAGGATCAGCAGCTATCAGAGTCAGTACATCAAGCATGGAAGAGTGGGAGGGAACTTACGACTCTGCCACTTATCAGTCATGGTACCATACAACCCACCAACACCCCAATGTCCGCCAGAGTGAGTAGTGCTCTGCGTAAGACGATCAAAGAGTCCAAAATCACCTTGCTGCATCCCATCCTCAACAGCAGCAGGACCACTCATATCCCTAAAGCTCAACGGCGCAAAGTCTCGTCGAATACAGTTAGGGTTATACGCCGTACCGTTTCCAGGTCCCAAGTTGGACTTGAGTCCTGCAAACGGACCGCTCTTGATGCAATCGCCTCCAGAGCGATCAGGAACATCCCAGGGAGGATTCACAGACAGACCAGGCTCAGGGTTAGAGAAGTTTCCAGGGATCCAAGCTCCGTTCCCACCAAAACCGTGCTTGTTGTGAAAAATAGGTGAATTGACAAACACGGAGGTGTCGTTGTCGGGGCCTGCGGCGTCGAGGGTCCAGTCCCAGTAGGGCACGCCACCTTTCCAGCCACAAGTCTGAAGCTCTTGTTCGTAGGAGTACATGAGTAGACGGTGGTAGGGGTAGAATACGCCCTGTTTGTGTTAGGCAGTGAAACGGGAATCTAACTGCGTGGAGACATACAGTGAAATGCACGTCATCGGCGTTGATGATGTGCGTGCCCAAGAAGTCATCCCATCGGCTTCGAGCACCGGGGATATCGGCGGTAGAAGACTGGGGAGGTTTCTTCATCAGGCACTTCTGAGCTTTGATATACTGATCTCTTTCCTTGATACTAAGAGAGCGCCTACCAACAATCAGAAATTGACTGACCAGGCAGAATGAGTTACATACCATTCCCTTCTAACAAAAGGCTTCTTGCAGCTCTTTGCCTCAGAAACAGCCACGCCTGCAAGTAGGACAGCAGTCCACAAAGACGTAATAGCAACCATGGCGTAAATTTACGGACAAAATGCAGGGAGAGTATCAGAAGATGCAGCTGGTCACTCAGAAGTGTTTGAGACGAGTGATCGACAAGAGAAAGGAACAGGAACCGCTCCTTTGTATGGTTTGACTTTTGTGCCTCAGTCTACAGGGTTTACGAAACGGGACCTCGTTACCGAAGAGCACCTGCAGCGTGACACTGCAGATGCTGCTACATGCACGTTGGTAGAATGCCCGGCAAAAGACTCCGTGAGATTCCCTGTCAAGCGATGGATCCGGGGCCATGGAATACCAGGGATCATCCGAATAAACTTGGTCCCAAGGCTGGCGGATTTTCACGACCCGCGCCGGAGAATCTACAGGCTACCCTCGCTTGAGTTATTCCCTGATGATCCGATTCTTTTTGCTTACTCCGCTATACTGTAACGGTCAATGATCATCTACAGGTCAAAAGTGCCTCGAGGTACATAAGCATGTTGGTTCTGGGTAAATTGAAAGGGTTATTAATAGTCAAATTACACTGCATGGCTTGGCGTAAGCTCCCTGTCCTCACTTCCCCTCTCCGTCCACGATCCCGTCGTCAAAGATCCCTGCGTCGTGCGCATTGTCGTGATATCTCGTTCATCCCTTGGCTTACCCACTTCATAAACCTTTCCCTCCAAAGGAATAGCATCGTTGCTATCCCCTGCAGCAAAAGGATCCTCGTCTCCACCGTAGATATCCCTTCTCGAGTTCACCGCTGACTTTTTCACCATTCGTGACTGCCTTGCACTCTGTCCAACGTCGTGATACCGGTTTCCGTAGCCTGAGCGACCGGCTGATGTACCTGATAGCGTCCAGCCCATTCTGTGCAGGGCGCTTTGAACGAGGGGTTTTAGGAAGGGCGCGGAGGATGCGATCATGATGAGGATTTGCTCGAGGGCTGTCCAGGTGGCGATGGAGTTTGTGAGTGCCCACGCATCCTTTGCCATGCCAAATTCCTTGACAAGGGTTGCTTTGACGATTGAAGCGACGCTTGCAAACATGCCCAGACCCATGAGTGCGCCAACAAGGATCTTCTCCTTCAGCGGTCTCTTGAGCTTCCAAAGGAAAAGCGTCGGTGCCAAAGATAGCATAATGTCGGTTGCAATGTTGATACCGGACCCGATGTTGGACATGATGTGAATGCCAGTTTGGGGGAGACAACTTGCTCCTTGTACTGTTTCAAGCACTGATGTATCCCATGATGCTTCGAGAGGTCGGCACTGAAGAAGGATGAAGAATGTGTTTGCGACTCCGTAGGCTATCAGGATGCCCATTATGAAGAAGCAAAAGATGCGCCACCATAGAACAGCAGGCTGTATTCGATGCATCATCATCGCGATGCTGATTTTGATGAACATCATGGCAATTCCCCAGATGGGAATGGCAAGGAATGCGTATTTTCGTGACCGAGTGACTTGCGATTCGGTGAGGAGTCGTGGTGAAGTATACATCTGCGGTATGAGGAACCCAAAGTCGACGATAGCTGCGCACTGGATCAAACAACCGTAAGTCTTGAGTCTCAGAAGTATCCATACTATTAACTTACCACTCCGATCGTCATACTGTAGTCCTCCCAACTAACCCTCCAGACCGGTCGTACCCTCAGCCATATCCTCGCGACAAACATAGCCAACGCAATAGCAAGAAGTGGTGACGTTATCCCCAGATGTACAACAGCGAGGTTGGCAGCTCGTTCGGAGATGGGGAAGAAAGGACTCCCATCGCTGGGAGGTTTTGGACTTGACATACGTGAGTATCACGGTCAATCCGTTATCCAAAACTTAAAAGCATCAATTAAGAATAAACAATACTTTAAGTGGTGAAGGAATAGCTGTAGATATTTGTATGCACCTCAGTACCAGGGTCAACACTTGAGACAAGTCACAGCATCAAGTTTTCTTCGCATGCACATATGGCACTCTACTACGTAACTCTATCCTGCAGAGTGTTTCCATTTCCCATCCTGTGACAGTGTCACTACCACTTGCTGCTTCTCTTCATCACGCCAAGCCAGCCACGGGATCGACGCGGGATTTCCTGTGACGGCCTCGTTCCAAACAGTAAATGCTCCGATGGTACAGAAGAGGCTTGCAGTAGTTAGTTACAGCCACTGAGGCACAGCTGCAGATACCTCCCGAGACAAAGGCTAGGGTTCCCGGCATCGTTGCGCAAGCGAAGCAAATCCAAACCATTACCTTGGGGGTGCAAAAAAACACCAAACCTCGATAGGGTGTCAAAATGAACTTGTGAAAGATTTCCCTAGGCTTAGGCTAAATTTACCTAAATCTTTTCATCATTTAGGATCAAGGTCCTAAGTCTTCTTTCCTCTCCAAGCCCTTGACCGAGTGGGCACACTAAAGAGCCCGCACAGAACTGTATCTCATTCTAGGATGCCTAGCCGGTCACCGGTGAATCCTCCGCGCCGTGATCCGCGGGGCATCCAATCGGCCAGTGAGAATCCATGTTTCTGTTCCTGCAGCTTGGGTGATGCCTGCACAGCGTTTCAGCCAAGATTCCTTTAGGAAAGGATTCGCTTTCACACTGCGGGAGAAGTGCAGGAAGAGAGGAGCAAAGTCCTGGTCGATAGGATAGGAGAGTTCAGTTGTGGCTACGAATGCTTGAAGCTTAATATCTGGGTAAATAGGTTAATAGTTCGGGAACACGAGCCGTGTAGCCGTGATCCCAAGGACTTTCTTCAACGACTGGGGTATGGCTTGGCATGAGAGACCTTGAAGACGAACACGAAAGGAAACGTTTGCAAACGTTCAAAACAACACTTCTTTGACTCCCTGGCAATATAATGCATCCTCTTTCGCATTGATCACCAAGTGGACTCAAGCTCGCAATCATTACCTTACAAGTTCAGACGACTCGCTTACACCCCAGCGGTTTCGACATCTCGGCTCCGCAATGTAACGGTGATACTCGAGCCCCAGTCACGTCTATTTCCATGATCTGATAAATACAACAAGGCCCCTACTCAAATGTCACTGAGTAACCACTGCAACATCTTGGTGCTATCCCCACTTCGAGCAGGTATCATTAAATGAAACAGAACTGTTTCATTCCTGCAAACGCCGCAGGTCTGCATACATGAGTTTTCATGCGCTACGGACAAAGTAAGGAACGTTTGATCGGACTGAGATTAGGTTCATGTTCGGCAGACGTTGCGGATTGATAGGCTTGGCTGGTGGGCAAGATTATTTGAGCCGCAGTGGCGAGTTATATATCTAGTCGATGTCTCATGCGTATGGGTCGCATTGGAAATCACCATGCTTCAGATGATCATTATTCGTTGGGCTATGGACTGCAATGACTACA